AAGGAATGATGGGTGTGGCTAAACCGCATTAAGCTCAAAACCATTTAAACCGCAAACAGTTCAATGGCTGGCACTCTGAATGGGGCGCCACATGGTTCTGGTCGCCCTACGCTGGCAGGTCAGTGATGAGCCCCCGCAGATGTCTCGACGTGTCCGAGGAAAAAGCACGATGGACCTGGCCTCGTTGGACTCCCTTTTTTGGCCTCGTTGCGAAGAACATGCGATCTCAGGAGAGGACATTCTAATGCATCAGTTTTGCCATGTTTGAGAGCTCTTGTCCTACAAACCAAGGCCTCTTTTGGGGGTTGTTGAGCTGATATTGTTGGTATTCTTGTGTAAGTTTTAGGAGGTGCATCTCACAACTTTGCTTCTTTATCAAGGCATCAAACTGGAAGGAATGTCCGTTTTCTTTCAACCATAGTTCAGGATCATTTCAAGCAGTGGAGCGGATCATGCCAACACTCGAAGCGCCGCATCCTTGCTTTGCTCAAGGCCACGCTGGTGTTTTGCACGTGTGCAGAGAGGGCAAAACCATGGATAGCAATGGAAAGTCATCATGGCTCATCAGTTGGTACATGGTCATCATTCGATTCACCATGCCACAAGTAAGTATCCATGTAAATCATCAACATTTTTGATGTCCAGATGTTGGATGGTTAGACCCATAGTGAAGGTTTCTGCAAGAACCTCAGCTCCTTGACACACTTCATCGCCAGCAGCGGTCAAGTTGGACTTTGAAGGTGCCGCCGTGCCTCCGCGTGAGTCCCAAGAAATGGAAGGGGGCCAAAAAGCACCCCCGAGCGGGAGTTTCATGGTAGTTGTGTGGGTAATTGTACGTGTCTTTCTTGGCTTTGATAGTTGTTTCTCCCCTCCGACGAGGGTTTACACCATCCTTTTGAGATCCAAAACAAAAGGCACAATCATTTAGGTCACGGTGACGGTGGGCGACCCCGAACACCCAGGACTCCCTGAAAGAATCATAGTTATGGCGCATGTTCCGAGGACCAAACATTCACTTTGATTCTTTACAGGGAGTTTAGCCATTTAGAAGTGGAGTCTTCCTTCGCGCCGCTGATTGCTTCCCTTGAGACAAACGCATATATCCATCGGCTCAGAGGTGTTTTGGGTCACAAAGTTTGACCCAACCTGTGGTATAAAAACACCCAACGTCTCTTCTTCTCGACTCCGAAAACAAATCGGATGACTTCCATGCGAACACCCATCCGCTTCCTCTCGGGGGAGATCGTGGATGAGTTGGAAGCCGATGACTTCGATGCGATTGTCCAGGCGGAGAAGCCTGTGACCTGGAGAGTACCTGATTTTGCTTTGGAAAGACCAATCGGAAAGCCAATTCCCCCATGAAAAGAAACAGCTGAGAGGTGACCTGTGGTTATCGTCCAAAAAACGTATGGAAGTGGTATGTCAACATGCCCACCTGAAAAGCAACAAAAACCATTCTGTTTCGAGAGGACAGTAGTCTTCCATGGGTCACCACGGAAACCCGCTTCGATTGGGGAGCGGCGGGTGGGCCTTCCCACGATCCGGTCCTAGTAGTAGGTATGTCTAAGTACGGTCCCTAAGAAGTGAAGCAGCATCCAATCAAATAAGTACCAGGCCCCCCGGATATGGACATCCCTTAACCTCTAAGGAGCTATAATTGGACACCCCGACATCTCCTCCTTTTCTCTGCATCCTTGGCAAACAGGTTTGCTTTGTTTTATTGAGGCATTTTTGAGCAGGAGAACCCCCCAAGGGGCAGACCAGTCCGTTGTCGGCATCAAAACCATCGATGGCTTAGTAAGAGCGAGACCAAAAGGAAGTCGTTTCGTCCCCTTTCGAAGTCGTCGCGTCGTTTCGGCGGACTCTTTTCTGAAGATGTGGAGGGCGGAAAAGCCTCGAACTCATCGAAGTGGAGGGCACCTGGGACCGGTCTGAACGGAGCATTTTCCAATGTACCGACCTCCATGCTGCTGTCATGGAGTCGATTTTGTGTGGATATCCGGAGAGTCCTTCAGATTTCTTTGTTTTCGTGGCTCAACGGAAGGTGGCACTAGTTTGGTTGTAGTGCACCGAGGTCGATGCTGCAAGATGTGTGTGTGTGTGCTTTTCTAGGTTAGTAGCTGGAAAAGCTTATGCTAGTTTGCCCAGTGATTCCATTGATGAAACGATTTGATAATTTGCTAAGTTACAATCACACCGTATGTGATCACGTATGTGTGTTTTCCCTGCGGATACTGACTGGGTTAGAGATTTGTTTGCAGTTGTTTTGCTTGTTTTTTGTTTTGCCAGCACACTCCAAAGGTGATGGCACTGAAAAGGCACTTGGCAGCTTTGACTGGGATTCCCAGGTTTCGACAACAGCTTTTGCAGGATCGCATCCACTTGTTGGATGACGCTTCCTTGACATCAGACTTAGAATTGCAGCTGGTGATTCTGGACTTTCAACCGATTGATCTTATGAGCATCCTGGATTTCATATTGGCATGCTGTAAGGGCGACGCGGTCCAAGTGGAAGAATTTCTTCAGAAACCAATCGATCCAAATTCGCGAGATCCCCACAAAGAGGTAGCAGCTCCACTCTGGGCGGCAGCAGATAGTGGCAGCTTGGAGGTGGTGCGACTGCTACTGGAGGCTCGAGCTGACATGGAGTCTACAGTACAAGAAGGCTCAACAGCTTTGCAAGCAGCCAGTGGGAAAGAGCACTTGGAGGTAGTACGAGAATTGCTGCAGGCAGGAGCCAATAAGAATGCTGCGGCACTCAATGGTTTCACGGCTTTAAAGCTGGCCAGTAGCAAGGGGTATGTGGAGGTGGTGCAAGAGTTGCTAAAGGCAGGAGCTGAGACGGAGAGTCTGGGTCGAAATGACAAAACTGCTTTACATTTGGCCAGTCTGAAGGGGCACTTGGAAGTGGTGCAAGAACTGCTGGCGTCCAGAGCTGACACAAATGCTACAGCAGGTAACTCAACCGCTTTGCACCTAGCTTGTGGCAATGGGCATTTGGGAGTGGTGCAGGAGTTGTTGAAGGCAAGAGCTGACCAGGACGCCGTCGTGCAAGATGGTAAAAGGCCTTTGCACTTTGCGTGCATCAAGGGGTACCCAGATTTGGTACGCGAACTCTTGGTCGCTGGAGCTGATAAGAATCCTGCTGCACGCGATGGTCACACACCTTTGCACGGGGCAACCGCCTTTTCGCACTTGGAAGTGGTGCGAGAATTGCTGATGGCAGGAGCAGATGAGAATGCTGCCAAAGGAGATGGTTGCACAGCATTGCATTTAGCAGCTCAGGGCGGTGATATCAAGATGACCAGATTGCTACTTGAGTTCCTGGGGTTTGGGCTTGTGTGTTTCTATGTCCTTTTTTTTTGTTGCTTTGTGTCAATCCTCAAGCAAACTCAGCCAAAAAGCAGCGCTTGTTTTTCCCCTCCTGAGTCCCTCATGTGTTTTTCTTCTCCCCAACTCCCAGGTTTGGAATTCATACGGAGTCGCAGAGACACGATGGTGCCACGGCTTTGTACTTGGCCTCCCAGGCAGGGCATGTGGAAGTCGTGCGGCTCCTGGAGGCTTCGAAAACTCCACAAAGCGGTGGCGCGAAGTGAAGAAAAGGGAGGGCCGCCACTGCTGGCGGAATGCTGCGACAACACCCATCGGTGAAGAGGGATATGGATTGACAGGGAGTGGGTAGCCATAGGCAACTGTTCCTATATATTGTAGCAGGATGTAGCAGGTGATTTAGAGGGAACCTCAAACTCTTGCTACCAGGCTACCAGGGCGAATTTGTAGATGGCCTCCCTCCTAGCGGATTTGATCGGAAATTGATCCGGTCAAGTTGGGATTCAGTCCTCGCTCCATGTTTCAGAGGTCGTTGTTTTGGGCTGCGCGCAGTCAAACGGAGGAGGTTTCCGTCGGTACACCATGTCCGGCTGATATCGCCAAGAAAGTCACAGGGCTGCAAGGTGCCGCGAGGGCCACAGATAGATAGATCATGATACCCAAACACTCTATGGGACTGCCATATATGCCCATACATTGGGGTGGTTTTGGGGGTTAATGTAGGAGTGTTTGGGATAGATCATGTGTGCTTCTCAAGATCACCTCACCGATAGACCTTCAACCATCGCGGAATGTGGCACCAGACCTCCCAAGATGCCCGAAGAGCTTCTGCTTCTGCCCTCGCACGTGCGCGCAGGGGCGCTATCGGCTGCCGAAGTCCAGAGGCCTTCGGGAGCGGTGTTGGGGAGCGGCTGGACTCGCAGGAATCGTGGCGGTCGCAAAGCTCGAGTCGAAGATTATCGAAGCTCTTGGAACATGAAGATTCGTGAAGATTGAGATCGTCCCTGGTCCCTTCAAGTCCGGAAGAATTTTTCTTCGCAACTGACTGTTCGAGTTTGGAAACTTTTGGGCCCGCAAATGGTCCAACGGCTTTTGGAAGGAAACAGTCCAACAACCGCCCCGGGCAGGCCTGTGAAGATTTGATGTGTCCTTTGCAAGTGAACCCTATAGCAACGCTTACTGAGTGCTACTGTAGTGGTACTGTAGTGGCCTGTGTTGAACACCAGGACAATGTAGTTCCATTACTTTTGCCTGCCAGGCTGATGTGAGTCATACTGAGGACAGTTAAGGGACATGCACCCTGGCCGCTTGGTTTTCAACGCCCCCCCAGATCCATCCAAAATCGTCGCGTACAGCTCAGCTCAAGGAGCTGCGCCAAAGCTGCACAGTACTGAGCAGCGCAGAGCAGAAGCTCCTGGGGTTGTAGATGTTTCAGGATGCAACATAAGGCAACTGCACCTTAAAGCCTTAACCAGTCCGAGGTGAATTGCTCAAAGCATCTCAAAGCAGAAACTCAGCATTTTCTTTGCACTTCACAGAGTTCGATCCATTCTGGGTTTTTTTCTTGTGTGGAATAGACAACACAATACACTATCCACCACGATCTGATCCAATGTGTCATGTACCCATTCTTGCCAACAAAAAGTTCATCAACTAGTTCCAAGTCAGCCATGCCCTGGTTCGCTGGCCAGAAGCCCACTGACGCCCCGGACCCAGCGCCGCCCACCGGACCAAGCGCTGGAACGGCCGCGAGCAGCCCACGAACGGCCGCGAGCAGCGAGTGGCACCGAACTCTAACGGTGAACTTTCAGGTCGCAGAGGAAAGGCGCTTGAAAAGACAACGCCAACTGCAAGACTGTGGAAGCACTTTGGAAATGGTTCCTGGAGCGATGTTACTGTGGGGGGCTGGTTTTGTTTGATGTTGGGAAGCATCTGAAAGAAATCGAAGAAAACACCTAATATTATGGATTTGATCTGTGTTCCTTGCTGTTTGTGACCTCTTCCAAAGTCATGGCACACGATGCGTGACCTGCAAGGAATATGTCATTCACAGATTGTTGCCCATTTGGCATCATGCCAACTCTGGATTGATCTGTGTCAGAGGTCAAGGTTGAGCTAGCCCATCAGTGAAATTCTGTGAAATTCGGCATGTATGAGTGAGGAAACAATCAATCCCACATTGAATTCAGGCTGGAGGCAGCATGCTTTAATGAAGTCCCCAGCCTTGAATTGGCATGAATTGGCTTGTTGTTGGTACAGTTACTTGGAACTCACCCAACCAATCTGATTCCTGCCAGCCGTCACCATTCCACCACCTTGGAGTGTGCATGTCTAAGTTCATCCAACATACAGCTGGATGATGCTGGACATGTCTGGGGGGAGGTCTGAAACTCAGGTCGGTGTGGACAAAAGCTGGCTTGAACGTGAGCTCCATGCTTTGGAGTTGCAACCCGAGACGTTTGCCGCGAGGGAGCCTGAGATTTTGGAGCAGCAGCTGGAGCAAAGTTTGAAGCTGTTGGAAAAGTTTATTGAGACCAAGCAGTCCAGAGATGCTTCCGCGGAGTTTGAGTGGTATGAAACCCTCAACCAGATGAACAGCATCATCGATCGCACACAGCGACCCAGTCTGGATGCTGCCTCCCTGGCACTGGCCAAACTGCCAGGAGCCAAGCTGGCGGGTGCGAGTGGCTTGACAGCTCAAGATGGTGAACTTGAATCATCAACTCAGAGTTGAGACTAGTTTTATAAGACTAAGAGACCAACCAGTTCACCTATACCCAACTCAGAGATCAACTATGTGTCTTAGTCAACTAGTTTTATAAGACTAAGAGACCCTATACCCACCGAGTGTGGATCGCCTGCACGACCTCGGTTTTTCCCTCTCTCCACTCGACAAGAACAGGTGGACGGCTTGGTGTCTTCCGAACCAAAACGAAACGGCGAGGTCAGACGGTCAGAGGCTCCAACGACCGAATCTACTCCGCCCTGTCCGTTCCGCGGGTTCCGCGGGTTTTGCTCCAAGACCTGAGAAAAGGAGCGGCCCTCTGGGTCGCCGGCCGCTCTCTGGGCATGGGGGGCATGCATTGGGGGGCAAGGGCCAGAGGGGGTGTTGATGGCATATTGGGTAAACCGGTAAACCAAAGCTTCAATGTGTGTGTGTTGTTTTTTGTTTCCGTGTGTTTTGGTCCATAGGAACCTGATGAACTCCAAGGCCAAAAAGTAGCAAGGTTCCCCAAATTCAAGGTGTAATGTTTCAGACTTGGCAAAGGTGTCCATTTGATCCAGTCTGTTCCCAACGGAGCTTTAAACAATCTTAGAAAGTTTGATGTTGTCTTTAATTTATCTTTCCCGGTCCTTGGCGAGCCACAAATCAAGGGTTAACCTTCAATGGTTTTGAACCCTCCAACCCTTCTCATTCAAATATATTTGATCTATATTTTAACTAACGTGGTTCAACACCTCATCACCTCATCACCTCTCAGGTCTCGTGGGTGCCGATCTCTCCGGCGCCGACCTCGCCGGCGCCGACCTCCGCTGCGCCGACCTCCGGGGCGCCCGGCTGGGCCTGGCGACCCTGGCGGGCGCCGACCTGCGAGGCGCGGCGCTGGGCCCGGGCCAGGGCCGCGAGGCCGCCGACCTGCGGGGCGCCAACCTGTCGGAGGTGCAACTCACTGCGGCGTGTGGGTTGGAAGCGATCTTTGATGGAGTGTTGGTGGAGGACTTGGGGGGTTGGGTTAATTTTTGGCATTTTGGGGCAGAACAATGATTTGTCCTAATTATATCTTCAAGTGCTTTGCGACTTATGAAGCTTGAGAGCTTGCGGTTCTCCTGTGTACATATTCCCTTTGAGCTTGAGCCGCTTGAGGATGCACTTCTCTATGGCGCATACTTGGCCAAGGCTTCCTTCAAAGGCGCACGTATGGACTGTTGCAACTTGGAGAAGGTGAACTTTGTTGAAGCTCGCTTTATGCACTCCGTCCTGACGCAGAGCAGGTGCAATGGCGCCACCTTCCTCGGAGCAGACTTGAGTCATGCTCGTATGGATGGTTTGTTCTTTGCAGGTGGTGAGCTGGAGGAATCTCTCTGGGAGCCATCAGGCCCGCCAAGTGTAGGAGCTTTGTTTGTTGAAGAAGAAGCTTATTTGGCAGCTCCCGTGCTGTGCAGAAGTAAACCTCAGGGAGGAGTTCTTCGACAACTGGTGATGCTATTCTTCGAGGATGAAGGCGAAGAGGAGGAGGAGGACGACGAGGAAGAAGAGGAGGAGGAGGAGGGGGAAGAGGAAAAGGAGAGTCCCCCAAGCAGAGAAAACAGCGAAGATCCTGAAGTGGAGGACCATGGCTCCAGCGTGCCCTTGTTGTGCGCCGCATCAGACGTGGTGATCGAAGATATTGCGGTGGTGGCAGCGGACCAAGTTGAAGCGAAGGCAACTAAGAAGCTCCAAGCAGCAGTTAGCAAGGCCGAAGCGCAGATCTCCAAGCTGGTCGCACGCGCGGATAGCATCGCAAAGCCTCAAGCAGAGGCCTTGCAGAAGCTATTGACCAGCAAGAACTTTTTGAAGCTCGCGGAGGCAACCAGAACCCTTTCATGCCTTTGTTTGGTTCTTGAAGGACTTCAGGTTCTCCAGGTTTTGCTCTCCAGGTTTGGTTTGTGGTTCATTGTTGAAGGACTTCAGTGACTTTTGGCTGTTTGCCCTGACAAAGCTGTTGTGGCTAAGGAAGCTGTCAAAGCTGGAACCAGAGACGGTCGACAAGATTGCAGAGGTCATATTGCAAACCAAGTCGGGCAAGAAGGTGGGTCTGTGACAGGTCCCATACAAATTTGTGGAATCCGTTGGCCTTCTCTGGAAACATCCTGACAGCCTCAATAAGGGTTCATATAATGGTCAACAGAAAGATATCGGTTGACACCTGTGCAGGCTTTGCATGTCTAACCCAGACACGGGCTTCTTGCCAAATCAATCAGGGTGTTAGAGGAACTCATCAGACCAATCAGGTTTCCGAGACCCTGGAGAAAGTGCAGAACCACTTGCAGTCGATCAAGGAGTCAGGCGGACCCGGCTGGTAGCAGAGGGTTCCGGCTGTGGTCCGGCGCACTTCGAGGGGTTCGGCGTTCTACTCACCACCGGCAGGGTCGAGGAGGGTTCCGGCTTGGTTTTCCTTTGTGATCAGAGACCAGCAGAAGAAACACAGGAAGGATACTATGAAACGATGTGATTGGATGCTTCAGAGTAGCATTTCCATGTCGGGGTGATACTTGGACACCAAGAGAATGGATAGAGGAGGGTGCCCCTCTCCTTCATACACCACTTCCTGATGTAACGCTCAAAGTGCCGGCACTTGATAGCTTGTTCCAATTAGACGTATCGCAATGGGCTATGTGGTTTGAACGATTTCTGAGCCGGTTGATAACACCAATTGACTTGCATTTCGTGGGACTTTCCTACCACTGACACCACTGAACAACCTTAAACAGTCACTCCAATCGGTCCGATCCAAAAATTCCCCAGATCCAACACCGCCTAAACCGCCACCGATCAGCCACCTATTTTCATGCCACCTGCTTGAATATGTCGCGGTGCCCGGCGGCACCGCTTGGACACCACCGTGGTTCTTCGACCGCAGGTGTGGCGCCGCTGCTGCGGAACCTGGCGGATTCGCAGCTGAAAGCGCGCACGGGCTACTCCTCGGGTCAGCTGTTGCGCATCTTCCGGGTCTCTGCCCTCCAAATGGCGCGCGATACACGGGAGCTGACCAAGTTGCAGGGGTATGTGGAGAAACTCCAGGAAACGGTCACCTTGAAGAATCTCAAGATACTTTCTGAAGACGGTTGTGAAGTTCGAGGATTTTTAAAAGTCGACCTTGTTTTCTTTTTTGGAGCTTGTTGTTGTGAAGATGGTGAAGTTGTTCAAATCCCGTCGACCTATCAATCACTTGATATCAATCAGACTTTGTCACCTTGAGATTGCTGACTTCTGATGGACTTGTCCAAAGGCACCCGAGCCGTTCAAGTCCGAGTTTCGTGAAAACGAATCCGAGGTGAATGAAAACAACTGGGACGACGTCATCGCCAGCTTCAGCTGCTTCTATGCCTTGCAGATGCACCTGCAGGGCGAGCGATCCCAACAAGTCTTCCAGCTCATTTGGAAGGATGAGGATTTCCGAGGATGGATACAGGTGGCTCAGCTTTTTGTCAATGTGGTACCTGTGAACCATCCACCCCCATTGATCATCCACAATGTCAAGAAGGCAGTGAAACACATCAAAATACATGCTGAGACATGGGAAAAGGCGATCTCTAAAGAATTGGCTGCAATCGAACTGACTCGAACTCGCCAATCGCAGTTCTTTGCCCTTCTGGTGTCGGCCATTTCGGGCTTCTTCATGTACATAGCAACCTTTCTGTCCAGTGTAACGTTCCAGGCATATCAGGATGGCAGATTGAAGATCCCATACCTCTCAGATTAGCCGGTCTTTCATCCCAAGAAGTGGTGGGATAGAGTGACCGGGCTGGGACGTGCATGAAACTACAACGCAAGCTTCTGTTTGCCCGCGCATGTCAGCACTTACCTGCCAATTTAGAGTGAAGCGATAAGTTTACATCACAACACTCGAATTCGGACGCCGCTGTGAAGTTCATAGTGCTGACAGTGGAGTGATGTAGCTCCCAAAGATGGAGCGCTGTGTGGCCATTGCTGCTTTTTCGGAGGGCCCTGCTTCTTTTCGGAGACCTGATGAACGCCCAACGTTTTCGGGTGGCCAATGGCCCAGAGGTTTCGCTTCAGCGTTTCACAACCCCCACCGGACCAGCTCCATGTCATGAGCCATAAGGCTTATAAGGCTTAAGGCTTATAAGCTACAGTTTGGATACCAGCAATCCGTTGCTGCCACCAGCAAAAAGATGCTCAGTGCGCTTGGACAATTGAAGGACCGTGGGAAGCCTGCTGACTTGGTCCATTCTGGTCACGATGGGGCATCAAACTGGGTCCCTGGGGTGCGGACCCATATCATAAATATGATCATATATGGGAATTTACAACTGGGTCTCTAAAATTGTGTTCTTTTGGCTATCTAATGTGCTAATTAAGGTTGGGTCTCCAAATTGTTGTGTTCTTTTGGCACCCGAACGTTTCCTATTTCCTTGGGGATTGGCAGCTACAAGCATTTTGAGAGTATCGTGATGCCAACGGAAAGGTGCATTCCCTGCTGCTCAATATATGTTTGGCTCATGGTTCCGTTCTCGGTGTGTCTCACAATGGTGAACCCCCAAGAAGAGGTCTATATAATAGTGTCATCCATTCGAAGTGTCTATATAGTGGCAATCAACATCCTTCATCAAATCATGTTCGAATGAATGTTTCAACAAGTCTGCGCCCAACAAAGGTGATGAAGGTCGCGAGCTACAGTGATAGATGCCTTAAGCTGCTTTGAGTTCTCACCTTGTGCAATGTAGGGTCGAACGCACGAGCGATCGCAAAACCCATCTGCCCCATCAACCCTTCTCATCATCGGAATTCGATCTTCACCAGTCCCAGGTAGCCAAAAAGTTTCTTTAATGCTCGCAGGTACCATCAAACACCATATCACACCCCATTCTTCTTAGGATGTCTTTCCAAACATCAATGTTCGACTCTTGAGGCCCCGGGGCCGAAGTTCGGCTCACAGAACGCGTGGGGAGCTGGAAGAAGGCGCAAGCCGGCCGTGAGGTGCGGAGCAAATCTGAGAAATTGGGTCGAAAGACGCATCAAACGAATCAAAAAGTGATAACATCGGAAAACAGTTATGTGAAAACAGTTGGAAACCATTGGACACCAATCCCTTTGAGATTGGACAAACCATTTGGAAAGGAGGTGTCAGATTGGCCGCATGTGTGTTTTAGGGGTGAAGATCGGAAGGGCCAAGGTCACTGGACTTGCTTTTAAGCACTGTGGACAATTGTTTGGGGTGTTTCTCGAAGTCTTACTTGCGATCAACATCTTAGAGATCGATGGAAATCCATGAGCAGTTGGTGGAGATGCCGATAATAAGGTCTGGAGATGCTGGGGCAAAATCACATCGCAAAAACCATGCAGACGTTTTTGGAAAAGTGACAAAATATGTTTCCTTTTAATTCTTTTCCCTGGCTTTCCTAGCAAAGTCCCACTTGAGTTGGACACTGCCAAGTTGCAAGGGTTTTTGGCACAAAAATCTCTATAGGCAGGTTTGTAGACATATGCTGCTAATCAATGCTGTTTGCACCCTTTCCTTTCCTCATTTGTCCGGAAGCAGGAGGTGAGACATTTCTTTTGTCAGCGGACTACCGCGTTACCGCTGAGCCGACCGTTGGGTATCATGGATGTTCTTTGTTCAGAGGATTATAAACATGTTTCATCGGTGGATTCTGTTGTACTGTTCAGGAGGTAAAATACCGAATGCACTCCTTCAGATTCTCTTTTATAACGTCGAAATGTTTTGTTTTTGGTCGAACTGCGGGAGATTCGGCCCACCGTAGAGCGGCCCGAATGGACCAGGCGATCTGCGGGGCACGCTTCGCGCTTCAGCAGCCTGTTCATGAGGATGGTCAGGCCACCAGCCGTGGTGATTCTACATCGTATACACATTTCTAGAGCCCTTTCTACAAATCATCTCAGGGTTCGACATGTGGTTTCCTGAACAGAGGAATGCCTCACAGAAAGACCAAACCCTTCAAACTCGTTTTCGGGGCAAGTGAAGGACTTCCGAATCATGCTAGTGGTGTCAAGAGGGTTTAGATGCATTCAAGAAGATGGAGAGTTTCTGTTCAGTTACGCAGGGTAATCGCAACATGTTCCAACTCGATGTGGGCTGTAAAAATAGAGGAATGACCTATTAATATATACCTCTAGCATTAAAAACCATTGAATTGATTTAAGCCAGCAGTTGGGGCTCATTCGCTATTGAGGAGCCCAATTCCCCTTGTTAGGTACAAGCCTCCCAACAAGTACTTATTCAAGTTATGTCAAGTTTATTCTTTTCAGGTCTATCCTGCTTTCTTCCATTTCGTCACGTCGTGGGAAATCCAGAGTCAGTGGAGGAGATGATGGGGGCCGTTTTTCGATTTAAGTCAGACATGTGACACTGGTCGACACCCTTGAGGCCCTCGTGGTTACGCAAACGCGAAGAGGCCGGCGGAGTCTCGGATTGGGATGGTGGGCATGTTTGGTGACTGTTATGCACAAGAGTGGGGAGTGTAGATGTGGGGACGTCGTTCGTATTTTTATTCATGTTTGTGGCAAAATTGTCTTTTTGGGCGGTCAAGTATAGGTTCAGTAAGTCACCAATCCCAAATTGTGCTTCTTTTGCCATTCATGTAAAGGCAACTGACATCAGCACTTTCCCCTTGTGGCAGGCCATGAGGTTTTCGCCTCGCAGATGTGTCCGGTAAATTGAAGCGGGTCTAGATCTTTGGTGCTGCACTGGCCTAAATGCAGGTTGCCCAAAGCCAGATTTTGTTCAAGCTGAGCTTCCGAAATCCTGTTCCAGGCAGGGAAGATTGGGCCGTGAGATGTGAGTCAAGATGTTTGACAGTTTTTGTAAGATGTGGGAGAGGGGAGATGTGGGAGCAGGGTGCTTTTGCAGAGAAGCATAATCTACAGCCACCTCAAGATGCCCTTTTATTGATGTTCCTGCTAGCGCAAGGTATGGATAAATGCATGACTTTGAGTACATCGAGATGCCGTACGGACAATACTCTTCCCCAGCTACTCGGTCTAGTTTAATTGATGTACATTGCTTTCCCCAATTCACCACGATCGCTTTTTTCTCCGAAACCAAGATCGCACTCCATGCGAGGCAGAAAATCAACGATCCAAAATCCAACCCCCTTTGTTTGTGGCTTGCTCTCCAGACCTCAAAGGGACTGTTGATCGCCCCGAACTTCAGGTCTTCCGAGTCCAGCACGCTCTTGTGGTCGACGTTGAGACATCCCAACTAAGAAGGCGTGGAGAGCAGGTGTTATGTGGGCGAGTTGTTGAGTTGCTTTGATTCCCAGTGGGTCCCAAGATCTACCGGCAAATGGAAGAAGCGAGGCTTTGGAGCCCATGGTTTACCAAGCTGCCCTGCCTGAATTTCCGCTGCGTTGATTTGTGTTGTGGATGTGTGCAAAAGAATGCAAAAGAGCGATTGCAACCATGTTGTGATGTGCTTTTACTGACTTTGTTGTTCCCAAACTGCTTCTTACTGGTTCGTTGCTGAATTCGATTTGGTGTGAAGGCCCTTCCGACCCTTCCCAACTTGACTTGTGACGTGCTGCGCCGCTCGAATCTTGATCCGAGATCCACCGGCAGAGCTTTTGCATCCGCACCTTTTGGAAGAGCTGGGGATTTTTGCGCGGTTCGCCTATCGCAGGAGTTTGGACTTCCTCCAGGGCCATGTTGCTCACCTTTCAGGCACAGGGGCACACCGGAAAGTTTTTGTTGCAGAAGAAGAGTTTAGCATTTGCCAAACAAAACAATCACCCTGCAGAATGGGTTGGGAGGACTAGTTTCCACGAGCATGTTGGTTCTATGTTAGATTCAGAGTATCTAAGGTCACCATAGGCAGCATAGGGCCATATACGGCCTAAGAGCTCTAAGGAATCATGAGGGTCAGGTCAAGCAGAATTACACGATTCTTGGCGGTTTTGCGGTCATGATTGCGGGTTTTGCAGAAAGCAGCCCTGGTGAGCTACCATTTTAAAGGTACAAGAGCATTCGAGGGGGAGAGGGAGAGAGAGAGAGAGAGGGCGAGAGAGCAACATGAATCATAAGAGCGCTAAGGAATCATAAGGGTCCTGGTGAGCATAGAGGGAGAGAGAGCGCAACCGTTTTTGTTGAAGCAAAAGAGCAGGTTCTTTCATTCCATGCAACAGTGCAACAGATTGTTTTGGATGTGAACCGTGAATCCAAAGAGTTCGCTAAGGTGGATGTCACCAGGGTAAAGATGTCGCTAGCTGATTGCTCCAGGTGGTCTTTGTGAACATTTTGTTGGACACGCAGGTTGGTACGGAAACTGGATGAAGGACTGGGGCAGACAAAGGATGTGCACTTTGTTTGCGCTTTGTGATGTGATCTGTACATTGCAAGCTGTGTGATTTCAGACAAGTCCAGTCATTTGACTCTCAGGTTGTGCGCACTTCGAGTAGCTTCTACGGTCTGATGACTCTTCTGGAAACCTGCTTGGCTCAGCGGATTGCAAGCAAAGCTCACCTGAGTCAAGCTCACACAGAAGTGCACTTGTGCACATACAGTCACATATACCCGCAAACACACAGCACTCTAAGTATTACAATAAAGAGGTTTTGTCGCCGGTGTTTGATTTGCCAATTCAGGCTGATGGATGTGCTCTATAGACCGATCGAACAAAAACATAAACGTAGAAGCATTTGGCTTGCCCTTTGGGGCATTTTTAACAGATCACATCTCTTTTTTTCAGACACCCCACGATGCCGGAAGAGCAGCCCATCGCTGCTC